TCTCTCTCTCTCTCTCTCTCTCTCTCTCACACACACACACACACACACACACACACACACACACGTGCACATGGTCAGAAAGATGTATGCCGCTCATGAGGGCATATCACAAAGGGGCTGGTGAAATCAGACTGGCCGTCCAGTAAGGGCGCCGTGGAAAGTTGTGTCCCTTGCCGACAGGGACATGCAGGAGAGTTCAGAGGCCCCAGGGGCAAGACAGGGTAAGTGGGCCGTCGGATGGGCGCGACGCAAAATGATGGAAATTACAGGGGCGCCAGACAAATTTTCCCTTCTTTTTTTTTACCTTTTTTTTAATGAAAGGTTGTAAGAGTGTCGGGGATATACGGAGGGAGGAGAGGGGGTATTTTACCCAGCAGAACATAGGAGATGGGGGCCGCTGGTTAAGTGTTTGGTCGTACGGCGAGGCTGACTGAGAGATATATGTATCTATGTATCTGACCTCTTTTACCATGGATATGCAGTCTGGCAGACATGCCAAACAGCACTACCCCTCATGGAAGGAAAAAAGAAGCAAAAAACAATGGGCCTACCTTGCTCAGTTGGTACACCCAGGAACTGTTGAAATATGAATCAGACCCAAGTTCGAATCTAGATGCAATCAGATGGATAGAATAAAATAATTCTGAAAAAAAAAAAAAAAAAAGAATAAGCAAGGAGCTGACGAGGATTAATACTTTTTTTTTTTTTTTTTTTTTTTTTTAACATATTTTGCAATTAAGGGCCCAGTGCCCAAGGCAAGAGAAAACAAATCAACAAAGAGCCATATTCAGGGGCAGCTAGGTCTCCAATCCTACTCTGTGAGGTGGAGCCCCTCCCCTGTACTAACCCCTGTAGCCGACACACTGATCAATTATAGACTAACCTATCCAATAAACTGTATTTGGAGGGAAGCAAAGATACTATCAAAAAGACTTCTTTTTTTTCCTTTTTTTTTTTTTTTTTTTTTGGTTTAACACCCCCCTGCAATTCTAGAGGTGCTGATAAGAGCAGACAGCCCTAGCACCCGGGGAGAGAATAAAAAGACTTCTTATATAAAATTTTTGGATACCTGAGAACAGGAATCACATGAACCAAAAAAGAATGACATGAACCAAGCGTAAATGGACCCTATTACTAAGACTGCAAAAAAGGACCAAAAATAAAGTCGCCTGAACAAGCATCAATGGTGACAATGGAAGGGCAAGAAGCCCAATGTTGACGAAACCAGTGAACCCCAACTCCCAAATTTGAGGATTTTGCAATTCTCTGAAACCAATCAAGGTAGATGATGTGTCTCAAGTCCTTTTTAATACGGAAAATCACCGGTTGGGAAGCCGGAGTGTCATGAATAGGACCACATCATTCCGTTGTTGCCATAAGTGAAATAGAACGGTTGCTCTGAATGATTCACAGACATAAGCTCGTGGTTTGGAGAGATGAAGAGAAATCGTTCCAAATAGGATTGAATCTACCGTCCACAAATCGCCCCATTCAAGGGGCAGAGGGGATTGATTGTACGAGATGTGCCCAAACAGGTCTAGCATTCTTGCAAGTAATCCAAAGATGATGTTGGTCTTCAACCAAGTGAGGGATCGAACAGGCTGTACAGAAGGGCGAACCTTGGCGTCGGCGGCGAAAAAGAAATGCAGCAGTAGGTACCGCATTGTGCAGAATCTGCCATAACAGACCTGCATGTTTTGCCACTCGTAAAGACGGTAGAAGGCGCCAAAAAACCGGTAAGCGGTGTGGTTGAATGGTATAACCAAGACTTCTCCATTTGGTGACCACACTCCAGTCTATATCTACCTCAGGTAAAAGCAGAAGATATGCATGCCTGACTGAGTGCTGTGTGAGAGCAACAGAGCAACCAGGTTTTCCGAGATCTTCCCAACACCAATCCCTTGGGTCTAGTCGAAGATCACAAGAAGCAGTAGGCCTTTCGATTGCTCCAAAACACAGACTGGTGACAAATGAAGGAGAGTAGAAACAACAGAAGTCAAAGTAGATCTGGTGAGTGCAGTCCCCAGACCAGCATATCCATCTGTCGCTGTCCAGGCAGTCATCTCCCACTCTTTATCTGTTATTTGATGAGGATTAATACTAAAACAGCACACAAGCAAGCAAGTAAAGAGGCCAGCTACATTCAAGGAGGGCTGTAAAAGCGGTCAGGTACATCCACAACAGTCCTGGTACGCGTATGGTCTCACAGCCTATTCACTGCTAATCGAAAGATCACTACAATGATGTTTGGGGCTAGCAGCTAGCTCCTTTAAAAAAATGGGGAAAAAAAAGGTGGCACACCTCCCACATACTTTTTTTTTTTTTTTTTTTTTTACCGTTTTGCTCCACACGAGATTTCTGTTCTCGTTACTTTTTTTTTTTTTTTTAATTTGGACCATTTCTCGATTTACGCGTGTTGGCCTTGAAAGCGCAGGGGCCATGCTAATCTACCCTCCTCTGTATCGTTCCAATTTTAACGGATGTCCCGAAGGACTTCTCGTTACTTATTTCGTTGAGGTGGAGCCGGGGCTCTGCCGCTGCTTCTCGATCCAAGGTGCAGGCCCTCATGGCCTGTCCGACCCAAGCGAAAGACATTGTCAGGTGGGGAGTTTGGATGGGGCGGCGCATCTGTTAGAAGATAACGCAGGTGTCCTAAGA